CCCCAGCCAGCAATTGCCTTCATGCTAATTGTGATGCTTCATTTTCTAGGAACAACTCACCATATTTTTTGTCGTTTCAGCTACAGAGTTAGTGGGTTGTGGGTTGTTGGATGTTGTGTCGTCGGTTGTGTGTTTTGTGTTGTGTTGTGTTGTACTGTCTTGTCCTCTACGTTTCGTATTGTCTGCCAGTCGGTTTGGGAGAAGCCCTGTAGCTCTCTCTTTTTCCTGGCCACACAAAGAACACATTTTGCGGATACTCCTTTTTAGGAGTTCATGGGTTCGAATCCCATGAATGTGTCAATTTGCGCTGATATCTAATGTGGTCCGTCTCAAATACAAAAGCACAACATCCAACGGACAATCTGCATCCTTTCATCACACCAACTACAAGTGTTGTCCTCATACAACAGAATGGAACTTCCAACGGAGCAAAGAGTAACCAATACCCAAGATGAAGTTCTTGTACCTTCTCAAACAGGACAGAATGCGGCACTTGTTAATGAAGTATTCTCGATGTTTAAGGGATCCTCTCAGTTAGACGTCCGATCAGAGGATATTTCAAAGTGGTAAGCTCATTTAAACTTGTGATTACTCTGCGAATACTTCACCCATTTTAATAAATATGAGACCACTAAACTCATTGCTGTCCGGTCGTAAACGGCGCACACAGATAATTTCGGTTTTATCTGGAAGTGTTTTATCAATTCAACTAGAAATTATCTTAAAGAAAAAACATTTACCTATTTGTATAACTTTAGTTCATTTCAAAAGCTTTCCTATAAGCCAAGATATTTATTGCAGAACTTGTACTTTTTAAATTGAATGTTAGAGAAGCAAAAATACGCAAAGCCTTCCAAAAATCTCGCCTAAAAACCTCCAAATATTTGTAGCTTACATTGGGATCAATATTTTCATATATTTTACTCGAAATACAGTTGCTTTGGCGATTTGTAGTGATATTTCCAACAAATGTGTTTACAAACGGAAACCCGAAAATGTGCATATAATTATCACCAATTAGCGAAAATTTGACAATTATGACCTCTAGGGACAATTTTACCCAGAAATCGATTTCTGGGCTTATTTTACCCCCACGGGTAGGCAACATTACGTTTTTGACACCTCTAACCTCATGCGACAACCACTTGTGCATGCGGCTGAGCAACGCCTCGCTATACACAATAACAAAAAAAAAAATCTTTATTTTTCGAGTTTTTCTGCCCATCCTGACTTAAATCCTATCAGAAAAGATAACTAATGCCTTTACAGTTTATATGTAACGGTTAAAAGACGACAGGATAAAAAATAACGAAGAAAATAACGAAATTCCAAAGTCGAGTTATATTTCCATTTTGTAATCCTGTGTAATTTGATATGATTTTTAGAGCTGCACTGCAGTGTCAGGTTAACAGCAATATTGATTAATTTCTTGATTAGAAATTTTCGAGCTATATTTTGGTGGTATTTTTGTGCTTTTTAAATTAAACGGATTAATTTCAACATTAAAAAACCAAGATGATTTCATGATATCTGGTGATGGAAGCATGACAGCATGGGTCATAGCGCTAAGTATTATGCGTACACAATATTTCACTGGTGTTATAAAAAATAGATTTTTTTTCTCCCTTTCCTATTATGTAATTGCATTTACCAATATATATGTAACTGTCAGGGTTGGGGGTATTATGTGAATATGAAAGAAAACAACCTGCATTTTGTTCTGTATATTCTTGTGTTATAGAAGTCAAAAATACATGCTGTTACTATACTGTATAGGCCCTTGTGATTCATATACAATTATAGTTTCAATTGTGTGATAGTTATGTTCTTGTAATCTCAATTGTAGATTCTATGGCATATAGAGTCGAATTGGTACGGCAAAATATCTTTGAGAATTGAAGTTTATGGCGGTTCTTCAGGTATGTTCTGGCAATTCACTGAAATACTATTTGTTCGCTAAGGAATGTTGTCCCATGGTAGCGGTAGGCATGAACCTGGGATATCACAATGCTGATAGCCTCACAACCCTGGACAATAATATAATAATTTACTTGTTCCTTGTGTTTCAATTTTAGATCAAATAAAGTATGGCAACCCAGGAGTTGCTAACAATTATTACCTTTCTCTTATCACTGACTACACCTCCATCCATCGCTGTGCCATACATGGATTTGATGGACTGACATACCAAGCAAGGTAAATATTGCAGGCTACATGGTATATGTTCAGTTTATTATTATGTCATATTAGGACTGTTGGACATTTTTTTTTATTCAGTAATTCCTCTATATGGGAATTTGATAAAATTCGATGTTAACCCCCAAGTAAAGAGTTCACAAAATCAATGGAAATAACGCTGTACCTCGACTGGTTTCAATTCTGGAGGAGCCGTGTATGGCAAAATCATATGCATTATCATTTCATTTTTGTTGATGATTGTTCGATGGTGTTTGGTGCCAGAAGATAATTGATACTAATTATTGGCCCACGTACTGAAGACACATAACATCCCAGATAATAGCAACAAGTGTTGGGAATGCGGATAAGTCGACAGGACATGGTCGCTTAAATGAGGCAGCTTCCTGGTCTGCACGGAAAAATAACCAGGACCAAATGCATTCGGCAAGAAAGATGTTTGTCGGAGCGATTTCACTCAAAGTCGTCGTGATTATAATTAGTGGGTGAAGACCTATTCTGTGTCCTGTAGTTCCGACGGGCAAAAATTCGATCATTACAAAATAAATGGACTAGTCAGGGTTAGCTGGATTAATAAGCAAGGCTTCTACAGATTACCCTGTCACGTTATATGCATCACATCATTTCCATGCGGTCATATATAACTTTTAATGTGTGATTAAGATTAATTGTTTAACAAATTATTCATTTCATTAGAGACTCGCTGGTGGAAAATGTCCTATCACCAACTGTAACCGCGCTTTACATCCGCATTCATCCAAAGACATGGTATGCAACATATCTTTGAGAATTGAAGTTTATAGCTGTTTTTCAGGTATGTTCTAGCAATTCACTGAAATACTATTTGTTCACTAAGGAATGAGAAATGACTGAGAGATCCATCTGACTAAATATATAGCGAAAATTTTTCAATAAGTGGCTTATGTAAGAGCGAGTTTTTGATTTAGAAATAAATTCTTTACACCCTACCAGCGGGTTTGTCAGGTTTTTTACTAACTTAGGTGCATTGGAATACAAGTAAAAATAAGGCGTGTTTTAGAAGTTATACCTGGACGAGGAATCCAGCATATCATTATGAGGAACAAAGCTATTATAGCGGTATATACTCAGGGCTATCACAATCAAGTTTAGTGTTATCGCTTTATTTCAATGTTTGCTGCACGGTCGGATTCTCACAATTAAAAGAAAATCAAGCGAAAAGTTTCACACGTACAAAAGTATAGGTATGGAACTGGGGCCGGTTGTTCGAAAGATGGATAACTTATCCAACGGATAAGTCCTATCCAACGGATAAATCTGGATAGTTATCCATTGGATAAAAACGCGTTGCAGGAAGCGTGGATAGTGAAGTGGATAGCTATCCAATAGATAAGTTAAAATTAACCAGAAGAAAACAGGATTATTCTGAAATTTCGTACCACAACGTCAGCTGTTGCTAAGCATTTACAACATTGAATTCATAATCATTACGAGTTCTCGAGTATAGTTACTGAATGGAAAAGACTTGAACAAGTGATTTGCTCGAACTTTGCACTTCACATCATAGTGATTTTATTAATTAAACACATTGCAATTTTATTCCTTGACCTTGCAACGCTTTGCCTTTCGGTCCCATAGCAAAGTTAGAAACACTATTTTAATGTTCGTGTCACTTTCGAACAACCGGCCCCTGTTCTTTTATTTATCGGAATAACTAGTGATGTGATCTTACATGAAGCATTTTCAGTCATGCTGCTAAACTGTCGTGCTGGCTTCGCCACTGAGTATTTTATTTGCTCGCAGAGCCTCGCCTGCCGAACGTGACCGTCGGCCAGTCTTCACCATGTACGGTGACAGTTATTTTCTGCCTTTTAACTTGCCGACATGCAATGTTTCATTGCACAGTGAGTTTTCAACTTTACTGAAGGCGCTACTATACAATATGCAATTTTCCTTACAACTTGAAATGCAATTATAATTCCGAAGGATGTTAATTTGTAAAGAGTGTTTGAAATACTAAGGAAACGTTACCAGATCGTAATAGATGTTCGTATTTGACAACTTTAGATGCCTCAGGAGTAGAATGGTTTTGCAATTTGCAAGGAAAGTTGCGTAGTGTAACAGCGCCTTGAGATTGTTTCGGAAAGCTGGTTAAATTTCGATGTAACTTGCAAACATGTAATGTTTCATTGCAATTGCGAGTTGAAAATAAGGGTCATTGGACGGAAGAACGGGACAAGTATCGTAGTTTTCAACATACCTTTTATAAGGGCGGAGACATTGATCTTCCATCCACGGTCGGTTTTATCATTTTTTCTGCTTTTTCTATCATTTCTTTATCCTACAAAAGACAAAAAAAACTTGTTAAATCGTGGATCAATCTAACACTTTTAAAAGCTTTCTCTCCTAACTGAACTAATTTTATTTATACCGTATAGTTCTATCAGTTCTAAATTGTCCTTCATGGAGGTCCAGTAGGGGTCATCCCGTGTTGATCCAGTGTTACTACAGGAGGAAACCTGAACTAAACTGACTTTATTTATGCTGGATAGCTGTATCAGTTCTAAACTTCAACCAAACTAATTCTAACAATTCGAAAAGCTGGGACTTCAGACGAAAAAGGTCAGCCGATTTTGAAAAATCTTAGATGCGGGGTGTTATAAGGCGGTTAGTAATTTCATCATCACCTTCATCCAAGGATGTTCCAGAGCTTCTGAAACCGTGATGCATTTTCTGTGACCAACAGTAAGCAGTTTTGTTATAAGATCCTTAGCTTCACTGCAAACATTCTTCCAGATGTTGTTCGGAAATTTATACGACCCTTTTTTGACTTGTTTCTCCAATGGGTTATTTGCCTGCTTTGAAAATAAAGAAGATCCGGAAAGTCTAAAAGACGTTAACTTTTCATTGACGTACTCCAATTTTGAAATGAGGTTAAGCTACCTACAGCTTCATTACAAATCGTGTTCACTACGTGAATTTGAGTAAACTGAAGTATATAGCATACCAAACATATAGTATAACTCCCAGGCTCCAGCAGTCACACGATTTCTTGTAGGATCGTTCTTCAGGCTACGGGATTAACATTTTGGTAGCGAGGTAACTTGGTGTACCACAGAGTGTTTCCATATAGGAATTCTGATCTAAAAAATTAATTGTTATCATTGAAATCTGTAACAATGAGAATTAACTGAACCTAAAACGTTTGCAGAATGCGCTCTGCTTTCGTAAAACGAAATCACGGACAAAACTCGGAATTGAGATTATAGTGACTTCCAGGATTTGCTGGCAATGGTCACATCGAATGGTTTCTTCAAAGACAATTTAAAGGGCAATTTAAACACAAGTTCAATACACAACCGACACAAACCTTTATAAGCGTTTCATCATACGAGGAACACAATAAAACATTTTCTAGCTAAAGAAGAAAAAGTTAAATTATGGTCGTTAAAGTTTAGGATATAAAGACAGTAGTGATAAATAAATTAGGGCGTGCTTACCTTCCAATCCCTGTTAGTGATGCCATTTTCATGTAAATGCTAAAAATACGAAACAGTATGAATAAAGTTAGTTTAGTTCAGGCTCCTGCAGTAACACTGGATCAATAACAGATGATCCTTAGCTTGGTGTCATTAAAAGCTCCAAACTCTTCGTGATATTTTCCATAAACTTTAGTCATCGCCTGTGAATGAAATATTCCAATTTGTTTAATTCATTCTTCGAAGGCTACACATGGCTACATTCCCGCTAAACGACATCCTCACCTGAAGGCACATTGCTTTCATAGTTGGTTTAGTTGTCAATAGGAATCAGTTACAGATCGTTAGACAACTCGAGCCTGAAAACAAAATAGAAAGTCGATCGAATCTTGAATGGTTTCATCCATGATTCTATACTTCTCTACTACATTCTGCAGGACAAATAACATTGCGTGAACTGTGCAGCAATATAGAGAATAGGGGGAAGCCAGACAGAAAAGCACATGGAAAGTAGTTTGAATATTTGCAAACCCTGATAGATAAATGTCGTGGACTCACACATTTGTTATCGGCGTCTCCTCGTCGTTTTGTTCCAACAAGACTCTCAAATAATAGTCACCTGATAGCAGAGATACGTTACTGAGTTTGATTCCTATCGAGGAATAAGGGGGGACGCTTTATGAAGAACTGTTAAAAAGCTAGAGCAGTTAGGCTTATCACTAACCTATTTCAGTTCATCAGCTAAACATTCATACAGGACTTCAAACTAAAGGTGATTCCAAAAGACAACGTAGTTTCCACTCAGATCTTTTTCCATTGCAAATGCGTGCAAATCAGATTCGAGTGCCCCAGAAGTTCCTCTCGCGTCTGTCACATTGAAACATAAGAAATTGTTTCATACTCTTTTACGAGAACAGTTTAGAGAAAGAGGTCAGGACTATTGAATTTGTCTTGTTATACTCATAGCGACAGGAAATCCTCCATTACATTTCCATTTCCTATATTTTCAACGGAAACTTACCTTAACTTCGAGACTCACCTTGTAATTCCAAATCAGGTTGTACGCTGTGAGATCTTGACTGAATCTGTAAAAAAGATCCGCTTAAATATCATTGCTTTTTCATCTTTCAAACGAATAGAACATTTTCCCATTTTCTTAATATGAACACTTACTTGTAATAAAAAAACTGGATTTAAATTCTCACATCTTTCCTGGATTTGAATCCTATTTTTTTCCTCCAATGCGAGAGATATCCTTCAAGTTGATTTCTCAACGTTCCCCTCGTTTTTCCAGAGCTCTAAGACACAAGTATAGCACGTGAAATAACAGGCTTATACGTACATGCAAGCATGCATTATGAAATTTTGGAACACGATTGTTGATTTAAAACGTACTTCTGCAAGCTTTACATTGTCACGAATTGATAAACGATCTTCTTCAGTCTCTGGTGGCTGAAGGAAAGATAAAAACATTCCAACAAAATTGTTTCTTTACAAAAAGGTTTTACACTTCTGAATGAATTACCATTTAATTATTTCCTCAGTGGGGCAGTTGGCACAGTTTAAGGATGAATGATGGAGTTTAGTTACCAAAGCAGTTGATACCACTTAGTCATGAATACGATTGGTTAGTCAGAATCACCTCAATGGGTTTATGTAAATAATGGCCCTCGCAAGAAAGTTTTCAAAGATTTCTTACTTCGTCAGGGCTTTCAAGGTAATAGAGCAAACCAGCAGGCTGTGAAAATCGTATTCAAATTTATTACATAATTGTTTATGAACCAAAAATTATGAACAGGAAATCTCGCATTTAAACTTTCTTGTATTTTAGACATTAAAAACTATAACTACTTTAATACGAACATTATTCTCGCAAGTAATGCCATTGCTGTTGGATGATGCTATGCCAACAATAATGATTATAAATTACTTATGGAGTATGCTTGTTAGTCTCAATTGAACTATTTACAGATGGCTAGTATATAGAGGATTATAAAATCACAAGTTTTAAGATGAATCTGAGAATGTTGCTAAAATACAACTCAGGTCCTGCGGATGGAATAGAGGCTATACCTCTGCAACAATTTGTTAATTTATCACACTAATTCGCACCTGTTCAATAGCGAACGTCTATCAGTGCTTTGCGTAAACATGGCCATGCGTAAGCGTTTTGGTAGAGCGCCCTCGGCAAGCGCCAGAACTTGTATTTTTGCCGCGGTTTCTTCATCAGCTTCCTAAAGTGAAGTTCTAACTAAATATTAACAGATGATTTTAGGCACTTCACACGATGCAGGAATATTCTTGAGGTTTTACAGGGTCTTAATTTCGAGTGGTATTACGCACTTCAAATTCAAGCAGGGAACAGTTGATGGAAAAATGAGTCAACTGTACGTCCTCAGTGACAAGAGCATTGCACCGGCATCGCAAAAGCGTAGGTTCCATTCCTGCCGGAGGATCTATAGTTCACTCATTTTTCCGTCATCTGTTCCTGGCTTGATTTGAAGTGTGTATAATACCTCACAAAATTAAGACCCTTTAAAACCTCTTAAATATCAACTGAACTAATATGTACATCATCACAGCTAAAAAAATGCAGAGCGTTATAAATGACGTTCGTCAAAGGCAGAAAATTCTCAATGGATGAATGAATGAATGAAACGTACCTCGATTATCGCCTTCAGAATCATGCCAGCACCTTTCACAATTGTTGTCGACGGATGCTGAAATTGTTGAGGAACGAATTCAAAACCACGATTGGTAAGAACCATTAGCGGGGCAATAGTAAAACATACATAAGCGAAGAAATGGTAAAATTGGTACTATTATTTAGTTTTGTCGTAACCTACCTGGAACAATCGATAAATGCAATGACCCATTTCTAGACAAACAAATAACAGACTTCATGAGTTGCTCCTATGCATGGGTCAAGCTAGTGGACGTGGTAAACTTCACCAAAAAGGTAAAGAGAGAAAGGCTATTTAATCAACTCTCAACCTCAGTCAAAGAGCCATAAACTACCAAGAAGACAAGTTGAATGAAAAGCTCCTCAAATTTCTTTGTAGCATACCTGCAACTTTCTCCAGTAATTTCCCAAACTGTTCATCATCTGTTGTCTCACTAAGAGGAATATGCAATAGTCGATTTATTGTAACAGACTACATGAGTTGATTCAAAATATTGGAAGCAATCACACCTTACTATTAGTTTAACATGAATGTCCAACATCACTTCCGTATTATTTTAATATATTGCAAAGCAACTAGAACAAACCTGTAAGGAGGACACAGAGCAAACGTCAGAAAATCAAGCAATCCACTTATAACTAAAACCCCAGTAGAACGAATATAGAAGAAAAGTTTTCATGGTTAATCTATTTCTTGTGTTTAGTTAGAAAGGTAGTTCAAATTAGAAAGGCAGTTGCTACGAATCACTTGCTGGGTTTTGCAAGGGAATTTCTCTTCCAAAACAAAGCTATATACATACAAGAGGGATGCAAAAATAAAATGCAAGGGTTCAGCATAGATTATAGGCAACCAACACCGCACATCTTACAACATTTATCGTGAGAATTTCCAACAAACTGCTTAGAAATTTTTCAGAGGATAACAAAGAGCTTTTGTTTATCTGTTCTTGTCGAATGTCATAGTTATCGTGCGTTGGCTATATAAAAAAACAGAATTGGTTTCGATAAGATTGGATCCTGTTAACATTCAGATTTCAAAGTTGGCTGAGTTTATGTGGATTGCAAGTTAAAGGGGTAACACTAATGACAGTGACAGATTTGGCAACATATTACCAGGAAATTCATCGTTAAAGTGTTGGCGCTTTCCTTTATATGGAAAAAACGGCCAGACGGTCCTATTGTCGATCTCGGTACAGACAGATTACTGGTATTTTAGAGTGTTTCAAGAACTCTGCGTTCAAGTATATCGTTACTTGCATCTGTCTAGCTCGGAAATTTCGCAACTGTATATTCTTAACGAAATACTCTATTTTAAATTTAAATATGACCGGTCTGACCATTTTGGCCGCTTAAAGGAAAGCCTTCTCTTTACCTGCATCAGAGCACACAGCATGTCGACAGCGGCGTGAGTCGCGGCTTCATTATTCCTCTTCAAAGCTTTCACAGTTTTCACACCAACCTTCTCATAGAAGCTGTAAAAACAAAACAGAAACACGGTCTAGAGAAAGTGAGCTGGTTGAGTAAACAGCGTGTGTTATGCTTAAAGATAAACTTTTCTCACCTAGTGAGCGTTGTGAAACCTGCTTTGGATCCAACCTAATGTCTCAAAGCGTGAAACAGTGCTTCGAGATCTTTATCTGATATTTTGTTTTGGTCTCTGCAAATAGACGAGACATTTTAACTATTTTATGTATAATGAACACCTGTGAAGGTAATAGCAGTCAGAATATGTATATTTTAGGGTTGAACACTAAATATATTTATTGGCAAAGATATACCTTCGTGAGCAATGAGCATTGTGATGGCATTAATGATAAGTCTTTCTTTTATTCTCCGGGAAAAGTCCTTACAAAATATTTAAAATCGTTTGAAAATATATTGGAGTTTAAAAGACTTAATATTCCAGCCGTACTTCTGGCGAGAAATTTCAAATCTACCATTTCATGGATTCGGACCCAGTCACTCAGCAACCAGAGTTACCGCAGCGTAGTCCCTAGGCCTCTTAACGTTCCTTATACGCGAAGGGCGGGAACTGAGAGGCCTAGAACAAAATGTTTTGTATTTTGGCTAAGTGGGGACTTTTTGTCCCACTTTCTGTATTGAGGTCAGTTTACGATCCACGACGCGGTTAACTGGCCTTGTTCGACGTCGCTAGTCAAATATTTGCTTGAAATAACCTACGGGATTTTTATACTGTCAGGACTTCGAATATTCTACAAACGTTTCAATGTCATTTGCTGTCGACGCTATCGACTATCAAGTAAACTCGAGTCCGTACGTACATGGTTATGATTAATAAGCTTCAATCTGCCAATTTAATATTCTCGCTTCCTTTATAACGATTATTGTTGTAAATCTAAGCTCAACTAATGCATACTAAATATGCAGAAAACTAACGTGCGTATGAAAAACACGTGAGTGGAAAACGCTTAATCCAGATTTTGACGGAACATTAAAAACTCAGTAAAATGCAATTATTCTCTACACAGGATTTGTCTGCAGAAAAGTACAAAATAAGAAATTGTCACTTACGTCTTGGGTGACTGCATGAAGTAGACCGCTGTAGGAAATATTTGCAGTTAATCTCTAAACATCTTCGGTTAAATTTCCTGCAAGGAGCCAGTAATAAGACAATATAAGCTTTTGGAGATATTTCAAAATTTAGAGTGAAATAAAGAGAAATATTTCACCTGGAGACGCAGTGAGGAATTTTAAATCACTGCTTTCTACTTCTTCGTCAACAACGTTATACAATGGACCCAACGATAACCTTGGAAAATATATCATCTTAAAAAAACAATTCTCTTTTGCTGTATGTGATGTATTGGACTGACTAATAGGTACCTGACGAGAAGTGTATTGTTTGTGTGTTATAGAAGATCCCATATGTCAGGAGGAGAATGAAATGAGGGTTCGTATTTACGGCAATCATAGCAGTGCGAGATTTTCATCAGGAAAATTTTGACCATTATTTTCGCTCAATCATCTATGAAAAAAGCGTACAGACCGTCTCTTCGTTGGGGTCGTTTTTACACAAACATCTCCATTTCCACTGCCTCTAACCCCGTGTAGCTAACCAGCCATATGTCCCTAGATTGAGTGAAATACAAACATTCAGAACAAATCTTTTATATAGCTTCATACAAAATCTGCTTTTTAAACTACCTGTCGGGGACGAGTAATTTCTTAGCTGACCGCTTGTTGTTTCCAGCCCGAACAACTGAGGATGTCTCGATAGCTAATTATTGAAAATATCTGACAGAAAAAGAAGTTTTATAACTATGATATACTATAATACACAAGTCTTAACCAAACGGTAAATTCTGGAAAGTAACTGCAAAAAAAAAACTATTTTAAGTCGGCTGGATACTTTTTTGCAATTGGACATGTTCAAAATGGAAACGTGAAATAAAAAGATGATAAAAGCGGTAAACTGAATCCAGGTCAGAAGACATGGAGTGTTGAGTGTTTGGAGTGTTTGGAGTGTTTGGAGTGTTTGAGTGTTTGGGTGTTTGGAGTGTTTGGAGTGTTTGGAGTGTTGGAGTTTTGTTTTTTTTTCTTGCAAGGTCTGAGATGAACAATTACTGGAACTGACATGGAATGTCGCATGACTTACTGAGCTAAGGGGATGAAGGCTGACGATGTTGAACATATATTATAGTAATAATAGTTTATAGTTTATTATATATTATAGTAATAGAGTTGATAATCGCGGGCATAAATGTGTTTTTGGCCCTCCTCGCGGAACACATGTTAACCCTCGCTACGCTCGGGCTAAAATGAGTTCGTAGTCGGGCCAAAAACACATTTATGACCGCGAACATCAACTCTATTGTTATATTATTATCATTATAACATACACATGAGTATATACAAAATTAGTAAAATACAATAATTAGTAAATACAATAATTAGTAAATACAAAATTAGTAAAATACAATAATTAGTAAATAGATTTGAATAAATATAGTTCACCTGGTGCAAGGCACTTTTTAATCATAACTCCAAGCTTATACTTTCTGGATAATTTAATACATTCTATAGGGTTTAATGATCAATATAGGGATAAGTATCATAAAATTGTGTGGGTGTTGGGGTTTATAAACTATCAAAACTACAAAATTATATCCTGTCAAAATTTCGAATTTCTAAAATAATGCCGGGTTTATGGTCATTTGAATTTGCTTGCTACTTTTATAATACGCAAAAAAGTAGACGGTAGACACTGATTTTAAGCTCAAATTTATAATATTTCGAAAATATATTATGCATTATTAATTATATAACATACCTTGAATAAATTTGAAGTTTTACATGATTCAAGAACATTTTCATTTGTAAACCGAACTGTTTCGCCTTTGGATTTGATTCCGTTCATTAGTCAAAGTACACTTCAAGATGTCGGGCTTCCTTTCAAAATTGTCGAGGCCAGGGATATGACGGTGCTAGTGCTAAATCCAGCCAGGTAAAAGGTATTTCTGGGAGAATATTAGAGAAAAACCCGAAGGCGTTGCATGTTCATTACTCCAGTCATCGTTTAAACCTTATTGTTGCCAAAGCGTGTTCAATTCTTCCAGTGAAAAATATGTTGAGTCAGGCACAAAATATCGCCAGCTTTTTTATCAGTTTCCCTATCCGCTCACAGTATCTAAGTAAAAAGATGAAAGAGTTTGGTTTAACCCGTAACAAGCTCGCAAAGCCTTCCACGACACGATGGGTAGAACGAATAAGATCCCGCGATGGTTGTTTGGATGCATTCAAAGTTATCTACGAAACACTCAATTTTATGCAGTTTACAGGATCGCAGGAAGGGCCATTTCCTAGATTAGCTAGTGACGCACAGTCTCATTTTCGCAACGTGGAGAAATTTGAATTTATGGCTGCTCTCATTATCACCCAACATGTTCTGGATCATACTTTGTCATTGACGGTCCAATTAAAGAAGAAAAAAAAATCGATATTGCGGAATCAATAAAACAGATTAATCTTTTAAAGGATGAAATGGCAAAACTACGTGCCTCTGTAGATTTATTCCACAATGAATACTACGACAAGCTGTTGGAATTAGCTAATAACCTCGACGTGGCTGAGTGTTTTCCCCGGGTATGTAAAGCTCAAACAAAATGTGATAATCATCGTACCAGTACAGCAGGTGGTTACAACAGATTAACAGTAACCATTAAGAGTCGTGCATAGGCCACGTGATAACGAAACATTCTGAGCTCATCAATGAACAATTGTAAAGGTTTTATTGTAACTCATAGGAAAACCTAAGGATATATTTTGTAAAATCTATTATATTACGAGTGTCTTTCCCTAAGTCTACCGACCCCTGAATTCCCCACGCTATCGTCACCCTGTAATAAATAAGTAACGTTGCAAGTCCTCACCTTCAACCACAAGGATTAAATTACGTAATTCGAAGGGCAAAATTGAGATTACCGGTTTAACTCAAAAAAGTTTTCAAAGGACTTGTATCCAGAAGGGACTTACCAGGAACAGGCTAAAATTAAACAGATGTTGAGATTAATGCACGATGATGATTCGTGATCTTAAAATTGCTACCTTTTGAAACTCTTCACGAGTTAATAAGCCTTGACTGTTCCCTGTGAAAGAAAAATTGGTAAATATAGTCATATTATAATATATATTTCCTCCATATTGCAAAGGTAATTTCGCTTGCCTTCAGTTTCTTCCTTGTGTAAAACAGTGTCTTTGGAACCTGGTACGACATCAATCTGAAACGATTGTAAAATGAAAAAGCTAGTCTAAATCAAAGATCTCTTTCTTTTCTGCTTCCCCTGCCAGTCATGTTAGTAGCAATGTAAGGGATGGATAGTGAATGTTCTTGCACGAAATAAATTTCATGCAAAGCGAGTTTGAAGAGAAATTCTTACCATAAAAGCGCTTGGTCCATATCTCGGACTACGACTCAAATATCGAGTTCGTTGAACAAATGCCGAACCAAGATTCAACTTTTGACCGGAATCTTGTAATAAAATCGACGAGGGTGAAGATCTGCCGTGTTCTGTAAGCAGCATCTTTTGTTCTGCGCTGTCTAAAATGCAGGCAGATAATTTGTTCATTTCGTAAATGCGCGAACAATGGCCGATCTGTTTTAACATTACAAACCTGACTCCTTGAGTTCGGTTTTCTTCATTTCAACATCATCCCGGGTATCTTCAATATTAGTTTTCTCATCTTCTCTACACGATGCGAGGCGATCTTTGACAAGATCTACAATCAATGTACGCTGTCTGTGCTCTTGCTAAGAAGTTCTGTTGTAGTTTCAAGGCGTTTTCTGGCTCCTTCTTTAATGAGTTCGGCCGATAAATCATCTGAAATACAACAATATCAATTTGACATTCCGCCAACGGAATGCCCAACCGAAACATTGAACAGGTTTGACCCATCGTTGACAAGTTGTTGGCGAAAACATTCAGAGCACAATTTGACTGAGAAAATAAATGGGCTTACCAAAGAGTTGTTTTGGAATTAAACTTTCATAAATCTCAGTCTTTCCCACCGCTGGTCGTCACAAGATGTTTGAGTCACAAGATTTCTGTACTGAGCATACGGTACCAGTGGCCTTTAAATCGCGGGTAAGAAGGTCAGATGCTTTGGTAACGAATTTTGTGTTTGGCACCTGGCTAGAATCATCTGCACGAGTTTTGCTATCAGTTGAGGAAGCCTGGAAATGACAAATACTTTCCTAAGAGCTTTCACTAGAAGAATATTAAAACTTGGTCACTCTTGCAAATATATCTATTGAAAATTCAGCAAGCAATCCCCGTGGCAATAGAATGACTTGTGGACTTACTTTCGTAATAAATGGCACGAATTGTTTTCTTAACAATAGCGGACAGTTGACAAACCAGGATGGAATGACATTATCAGCAAGAGCTACAGTGTATTGAGAGTATCTAAGGTGAAACATATCAGTTCGTTTATATTTTAATCATTTTGACAAAACCAATAATAAAAAGTTTCAGATGTTATCGCGTTGAGCCAACTTCGATGATTCTGTGTAAGGCAAACATATTCCAAAGACTTGTTTCAACTGGATCGCTGTGAAGTTTTTGTAAAAGCACAAATCTGTTACAATGCGATTTAAACGATTTAAAAGAATGCTACCAACTTTTCGCCGAATACGATTGTGTGTTTACACAACCTAGCTCTCTTTAGGGGGTACATTGATATTTTGTAACAGATTTCATTATTTACGTAACTTCAAGAAACATACCAGAGGGAAATTCTAGCAGTGGTATGGCAACTTGAGTCGTTAGCGAAAGTTTAGTAAACTTTTCCAGATATTGTGGGAGCAGTCTAAGGACAGAAAATTTAGTAATTATTACTTAAAAAATCATATATTTGTGAAGGAGTATCTCGCATCACAAGAGACGTTACGTTTAGGCTGGAGTTTATTGAAAAACGTTTCTGTAAATTCACTGAGCACATTATCAAGGCACGATTTCAAATATCTCCAAAGAAATAAACTTCTAAAACGCTGCAACTACTTAAATCAACTTCATTCTTACAAAGTGCTAATGGACATAAAAAACGTCTCAAATTCCAGACTATTTTAAGTAGCCATACCTTGCCATAACTGAAGGCATTTCTAACATACATATAGTGAGACAAGATACGCTTAACGTCGCGAAATGAGCAACCAAGTACGCATTAGACAACACTAGACGACATATACAACAACGTTTAAGCAAGAACAGACAACCGCTGAAAATAAAGTCCCGCAGATTCTTACCTGTTCATCTTGACCAATAAAAATGTGGTACGTAAACAGCTCCGTTATTACCTGCACGTGTTACAATAAAATATCCAATTAAATCATTAGTATGGTATGATATAATTATGGTATAAATTGGTTATGGTATGGTGTGATATAATTATGGTATGATATGCATGGTTATGGTATGGTATGATTTCGTTATGGTATGGTATTGTGTGATATTATTATGGTAAGATATGGTTATCGTATGGTATGATTTAGTTATGGTTAGTTATGGTATTATATGATTATATGATATGATTATATGATATGATTATATGATATGATTATATGATATGATTATATGATATGATATGGTATGGTTATGGTATGGTATGGTTTTGGTATATTTATGGTAAGATATTATGATATATGCAAAAAACTGATTGATAAGAACCGTACTGGAAAAATTCTAGCGTACAAATGAGGTCGGCGCATATCATTAGGAACACGAAATAATCCAGGAAGAAAATCGTAATTTGAAACCTGAATGCAAAGTAAAATTTTTAGTTCATGATTTTGGTGTGAAAGTACACAACTTCACTTCCCTTTTAATTTTAGAGAAGACTGTAGATATTGAACGTAAATATTGCTTTCCAGAAAGTATCAAGTTTTTATCTTGGAGTGCCTCTGGAAAGTTCCTCAGAACAACATCCAACACCTCCCATTCCAATTCCTAGAAAATGAAGAAAGTTGAACTTCAATCGAAACTTAATGCCAGATGATATATTATGATAGAAAAGTTTACCTGTTGTAAGCACACAAGAATAACATTCATCGCCTCGCTGTAAGGCAGTGAAACAATCCCGTTTGTCTTATCTTCTGCAGAACTAAAACAAAAATGAGAATGTATTACGCAAACAAGAAAAGGATTTTAGAAGCAGAATACCTGACATACGTGGCACTATCGTCATTAACCAACCTTTTCTTTCAGAACAAACAAAATACGAAGTGAATTAAACTTTTCTACTTTTGTCTTGCACAAGGCCTAGACGTTGTCAGCTCGCAGACTGAGGAAACATTGAAGAATCTTTAAGAAAACACAATGTGAGACATCATAGAAAAATCGCGAGAAATAAAATTGAATTTGCCTTACCGAAAGCCGTATTTCCGATGCACTATACGTCCGATAGCCATTGTAATAATGAGTTTTTATGTGGTACACTAATATATTGAATATTCGTTCGGCTCGTTCTTGAGGTTTACCAAACAATTTCATCTGCAAAAATAGAATGAAATTACTGAAAGAGAAGCAAGTGTGGCATTAAATTACACTTATTTTTGTTCACGAAAATAACTTCATCACAATGAACGAATATGTGTGGACAATCTCTGCATGTCCTTCATTACCTTGAACAAGCGTACTAATCCTAATACAGCCTCCTTGATGTCTTTCTACGCTGTTTCATCCTGAGGCTGCAGCAACAAAGACAAATTACAGTGATTAGATGTAATTTTATGTCTCTAGATGTTCCTACATATACCTTGCAGTCTCTATAATTACCTTACATGTTCTTTACATGACGGCTTAACGTATCGCTTGAGAGGATCAACTGGACAGTGGCAATCTGGAATTGATAAATGAAATATATATCCTTTTACTTCACTTATGCGTTTGCATTCACGACCCCCGTGTAAAACGATCCAATTTGCGGATATATAGTTAGGTTCAGGTCAGGAAGCTTTTACTGATAAGAAAGAGTTTTCTATTGAAGTACAGTATCAGCTCATCACGAATGAAGAGGGAAATTGGAGTGGAGAAATGAAACCGTCTGAAAATGATTGTATTGAGTACCTTCTCGATTATATGCAAAACATCGCAAACTTTCGGTGAATCAGAGGATTCAATAACATGGACCAGAAGCTGGACAGTTCGGATCCGCACAGAAATATCCCGATCTTTGACAATGTGGTCTAAATGTGGCAACACTGAATTCTCAAGTATTTCTTCCTGTAAAAAACAAGGAGTTATAAAACTAGAAAAAGATTCATAATATCGCTAATGTCTAGAAAAATGGACTAAAATTTATTCAAAGTACTAAAATTTATACCTCATATAGTGGAGATAACGTTCCTAATATGTTACAAAGCACATTTAGAGCTTTAATTCGTTTGGCCGTCCTCTCTTCACATCTAAAAAAAATTCCCATTAGGATAAGACTGAGGCTACATAGAAATACATCACGAACTTAAACAAAAATCAACATACCAAAATATTACATTTTACATAACAAAATATAAAGAAAAAAGAAGACCACACACTTGAAGTATTTCTCCACCAAATCTTTAATATTTTCAAACCAGTTTTCGCAGTAAGGATGAAGAGACTGGGAACGATGAGAAACCAGGAGAATAACTGAGGATTACTGCAAACAACGACATTTCATTTAGCTGCAAACAACGACATTTTATTTAGCTAAGTGGATTCCGTTAGATCTTCCTATATTTTATTAATTTTGTCCTCAAAGAAAGTCATAAAATTGTTAGCTAGATTCTCATCAGATTGGCACACAGGATATTGAGAATAAGGGGTATAATGTAGTAACTTTCCAACGGTTTTAAATAATTTCTTTTGGTCACTCCCATTATCTCTAACAATTTCAGAATAATAACGAGTACGACTTTCTTATAATAGCTCACTGACACGGCGACATTGCTAACTGTATTTTAGACGATCACAGGATTGTCTTGACTTACGCCATACCCGCTCGAGTTTCCTTCTGATACGTTTTTCGTTTTTAATTTGTTCAGTGTACCAAGGTGCAGCTGGACGAATAATTATCTCTCTGGAAAAAAGTGGTGCATGATGATCCAGAATTTTGGGCAGCTCCGAGTTGTATTGGTTGACTTTCGCACTTATATCAGCCGTGTTCCCAGTGTTAATCGGAGATAGCCTAATTTCATTAAGGAACGAGTCCATATTGATTGCTTTAATTTTACGTGACTCCACGACCCTTCTCTGAAACAATGGTTTTTTAAAATTGAGTTCATATGTAACCGTGTAATGGTCAGATATAGATGGATCATGAACGTCAATAGATTGAACAATATTTTCCTCATGGCGAGACAAGATAAGGTCTAACGTGTGACCAGCAAAGTGTGTTGGTTGTTGTACACGTTGTTCCAGATTAAAAGAATCAACAAGATTAAGAATTTTTTTTGTTGTTAATTCCGATTTATCGTCTACATGGAGGTCGATATAATACGATTATATTTAGAATTTGAGATGACACATTGATTTGCATACCATCACTTCGAAAGACTTAATATGTGAGAACATTTTCGCCGAGTCCAGCTTGACTTTTAAAGTGTTGTTGTATAGTATACCAATGCCTCCCCCTCTACCTTGTTGTCTCGAGATATTGTTAAAGGAGTAGCCCTTCGGGGTGAAATTCCCAAAAGATATATGATCAAATTTGTCAGGGTGAAGCCAGGTTTCTGTAATCGCAAATATATCAAATTCATTCTCAACCACATAGTCTTTGACTAAATTCGCTTTGTTCCGAATAGACCGTCAGTTGAGAAGACCAAAAGAACAAAGCTGAGTAACAGCTGTATCAGGAGTGTTGGCAATGCCTGATAAAGGAATATTGATGAGATTGATTCTCTTAATATATTTCTGCCATATATATTTACAGGCTTTGGGACACGGTCCGTGATTCTAACAGGGATAGCTTCCTGATGATTTGCAGGATGATAGTGATTGTATAGTGTGGCGGTGGTGTTTGCGAAGTAGGTATTATAGCAAATATTCCTATAGGTCACATGGAACAACCAACCTTTCTGTAGATTCAACTGCCCAAGCATTGAACTAAGCTCCTCAGGATTATTAGCGGGTCGAAACGTGTTCATCAAACGTAACTGCTTTCGATGTTGAGACATCTCATGCGACTGATTATTATCAAAAGATTGAGGACCAGGATTAGGCGAAACATCCACACACATTGTTAGATCCTGCTTGAAGGCTTCGTACACAGGACTAGACTAACAAATCCATGTTTCGTTTCTTTAGCAATCGCAAATGAGACTTTGTATTTAGATTCAAAACCAACTCGTTGTATGTTGACCCGACATCGAAAAGCAATATCTCCACAAATACTCAAGGTTATGCCATCCGCAGCCAATCCATCCAAATCCGTGCAATTAGTACTCTTAAATGCCATATTAATTGGTCGAGATGTACGAAACTCGTTAGATGAAATAAATATCCATAAAAAATATATAGAGCTGCCGCCAACCGACATATTGGTCGTGAATTAAGCAGTACGAAAACACAATATTCATTTCCATACACCAAAAGATGGTGATTCAATGATAACATCACGTTATCAGCTTTAGAGAATTTCTTTAAAAACTTGTTTAACGAATCGGATAGAAGCAAACGGGAACGAGAAGAAGAAGAAGTTGTGAAATCATTGTAAGTGTGTTTATTTCTATTTAAACCCGACAACTTTACTTGTTCAGGGAAAGACATATTAGAGTTGTTTACTAGTAAAAGCTATGTACACACACCTTGGGTGGTGGTGGACAAAATATTGAATCATTGGTTATTTTTATTCTAGATCACTAGCTGCCTGTGAAGGAACATACAAAATTTTACTAGAATGCTACAAAAACAGCTGGATTGAAGGTTGTCAAACTGAAATGGTCTCCCAAGTGGCAAATCGATTGCTCGAATCCTACCATAACCGTGTTTCATTATAAATCTGTGAAAAGGATAAAGTAAATTAAATGAACATGGCCGTTCAGCACAAGTACTTGTAGTCGATTGGAGAAGACAATTGTCTCCCATGCGGTAAATCGATGGTTCGAATCCTACCATAACCGATTTTCATTATAAACTTCGTCAAAAGAAATACAGTAATTAAATAACCATGGCCATTCCCATAAGATCTTGTAGTCTAGTGGCTAATGCAATTGTCTCCCAAGTGTTAAATCGATGGTTCGAATCCTGCCATGACCTTTTTTCATTATGAACTTCGTGAAAAGAATAAAGTAAACTAAATAACCATGGCCGTTCAGCACAAGACCTTGCAGACTAGTGGCTAAGACAACTGTCTCCTAAGTAGTAAATCGATGTTTCGAATCCTGCCAAAACCATTTTTCATTATGAACTTCATGAAAAGAATGAAGTAAACTAAATAACCATGGGCATCCAGCACAAGACCTTTTGGTCTAGTGGCGAAGACGATGGTCTCCCATGTGTTAAATCGATGGTTCGAATCCTACCATAACCGTTTTTTCATTATGATCTTCGTGAAAACGATAAAGTAGATCAAATAAACATAGCCGTTCCCCGAAGAACTTGTGGTCTAGTGGCCAAGACAATTTTCTCCAAAGTTTTAAATCGATGTTTGGAATCCTGCCAAAACTATTTTTTATTGTGAACTTCGTAAAAGGATAAAGTAAACTAAATAACCATGGCCATCCAGCAC